ATTTTCAGTTAGCAAACGGCATAGATCGATAGGCTACGCATGTACATGTACAAATACACTTGAAGAAATTTAATGGTGTTTTTTTTTCCTCTCATCATGGTGACAAAAACTGCGGGGGCATACAACTGAAATTTGGAAGTTCACTGACAGAGGTCTACAATTAGCAACCTGTCCATACCCTGCAGTAACAAATTTATCTGATTGAAAGTTACAGTTTCATCTTTCTAATATTTTTGTAGCATGTATTCCTGGAAGATATGGCAAAGATTGCAAAGAGATATGTGGTTACTGTGAAAGAAATGAGCCATGTAATCATATCATTGGATCCTGTCCTGGATTGTGTGATCCCGGATATTATGGAGAAAAATGTCTGACACGTAAGAAAAACATTGCCTTAAAATCCTTTAACAACTCCCCCCCACCCCCCCCCCAGCCCCCACCCCCCGAAAAAGGTTTATAGACTGCTTATTCCAACTGATCCTGATACAAGTCATATAAAGAACTATATGCGGTATTAACCAACATTTGCCCCCCAAAATCAAACTTTGATGGAGTAATATTTAATTAAGTCCTTAAACAGGGGAGTATATGCTGACTTCAAAGCACTAAATAATTTCATAAGTAATGACGTCATATGTACATCAATGACGTCACAAATATGACGTAAATTTCAGTTTTTTATGAATTTTGCAGAAAAATGTACATATTTCGTCGATATTTTGAATAAAAGTCACCGAGCGCATGTGTGTTCAGGATTAATATTTTGATATAATGTGTAGAATGATAATATGAATGAAATATGTAAATATTGTTCCTGAACACACATGTTTTGTAATTTAAAGCTTAAATTGTTGAAATTTTGTCCATTTTGTCCTCTTTCTGAAAAAGGATATAAAATCGGACTAGTTTGTGACGTCATAAAAACAGAAATTGTGAATACACTGCTCTGGAACTATAATATTTTCTGTTAACTTATATTTCTCGTACAATTTATTGAATTCAGCACATTTCAGGAAGTTTTAAAATATTCAATCAACCATCACCACCCACCACCACCAACAGTCCCATAACTGAGACATGTCCACCACCAACATAATAGCTTTAATACCTGTTGATTTTGAATGTGATTTGACATTTTTGGTTCTTTTTAGTGCGTATTTGGGATAGAACAATAATGTCTTAAAATAATCTATTTTTAGCATTTAACACTGTTTTTGCACGTGCTTTCGGACAAAGGTCACCCCTTAACTTACTTTTTGTAGAATTCTTCTGTTTATCCAATTTTTTTTTTAATCTATTTGACTATTTCTTTGATCAACTTTACTTTTGGATGTTTAAATATTCGAAAAAGATGAATTACCTTATGATATCATAAAATCGGCAAAAAATCTTACTTTCGGCAAACTCATCATTTGTATCGTGCTAGCGTAAACTATACGTAATGCCCAAAAGGTGATTCGAAATTTCTTGACTTAATTGCAAAAGGGTCAGTTTGATTATTTGCTAGGTAATTCCAATACGAGGTACATTGTGTATAACTCTTTCAATTTATTTCTACATTTTGAAATGAAGCGCAATTTCTTTTTACTTTTTTATTATTTGCATTTCTTAGGTGTATTCATGAATTCACTAGAAAGAAATGCGCTGTTCTGCTTATTAATAATATCATTATGTATTCTGCATAAGTAGTGTTTTTGTCTATAAACTGCTAAAAAGGTCATTTCTTAATAATTTTGTTAAATTATTAACTTTCAATTTGTATATATATATATATATATATATATATATATATATATATATATATATATATATATATATATATATATATATATATATATATATATATATATATATCTTTCTTTTCTTTTCTTTTTTTTTTTTTGCTTTATCACAAAGAAACACACAAAAAAAAACATTGAAGGTCTATTGTACTTATGATTTTAAAAAAAAGCAGATGATAAAAAGAGTAATATGTAAAATTTGACAAAATAATGAAACAGTAAAGATACTGAAACAATGGGAACTGTTCTATATGCCCTGGAATCAATTGGACTTCCATATATATTCTGCATAATAAGCGTTTTTGTCTTAAAAATGTTAAAAAATGTCATTTCCTTATAAAAAAAATTCCATGTTTTCATTCATGGAAACCGCAATGAAATCATTTGTCTGAAAACTATCAACTTCTTAGATCTAAAAGCAAGTTTTTGATCCCAGATATGTCTTTTGTAGCATGTACGTTTGGAAGGTATGGCGAAGGCTGTAAGGGAATATGTGGTCACTGTGAAAGCAATAAAACTTGTAATTATGTCAATGGATCCTGTTCCGGGCTATGTGAACCTGGATATCATGGGGAGAACTGCCTAACAAGTAAGATATTAATAAATCAAGAATACTAAGATACGTAATTCAGCTAGGTGACTCTTCTTTTTCTAATTACTTATACGTATTTAAGCAAAAATGAATAAAAGTTAATGAATACTCATGATAAACGGAGTCATTTATAAGTACAAAGACATGTCTTTCTTCATTTATAACCGTTTCGAAACTCAGATTAAATCCTCATGATTTGAAAAAAAATCTTATTTGTACAGTTTCTTTTTCCATTTAAATTCAGAATCAACTTTTTAAGCTAAATATAGTTATCAAAATAGTTAAATCTAGTATTTTTTGCTAAGGTTATAAATATGAATTCTTTGAATTTCAAATATGATTATTATTGTAACTTAAATATTTATTTTACGCTCTATGTAATCTATGGAAGCCCATTTACGACCTCTAAAATATTTTTGAAATTCGATAAAACGAATTGTCGAATTTGTTCAAACGAATTTAATTAAGTTTAGCAATTTCTTTGAATTCCCTATTAGGATTTTAATCTGCTATAGCGAAATTGTTGAATTCATTATAACAATTTCTTTAATTTGTTATTACAAATTAAATCCGTTTAAACAAATTCTGAAGTCTGTTATAACAAATAAATTTGTTAAAACAAATTTCCAAAGTCTGTTATAACGAATAAAATTTGTTTAATCAAATTCAATAATCAAGGTCTATAGAAAAATATATAATTATGAATTCGATATAACGATTCATTTTAACGAATTTAACTCATTATAACAAATAATAGTATTCGTTTGAACGAATTCAATTCGCTATAACAAGTTTTAGACTCCTTTTCAATGAGTTAAATTCGTATTAAAAAATTGAATTCGTTATAACGAAATTGTTAGAAATTAAATTATTAAATTCGTTATAACAAATTCGACATTTTTTTATATGAAATTCAAAAATATTTTTCGATAGGTCCTAAATAAGCTTCCGAAGTAATGTCATTGAATTACGTATAAAGATGTACAGATAAAAAGTTTCTTTATGCTCCTTTTAATTTTATTAGAATACAAGGATGGCTGGTTTGGCAAAGAATGTAATGGGGTATGTGGTTACTGTAGAGGTAACAAACCATGCCATCACGTGACCGGATCTTGTTCTGGATTATGTGAACCTGGATTCCATGGGGAGAATTGTGAAAACTTGGTGTATCGTATCAAATTCTTGCTGGCGTGAGGGAATTGCTTAATTTAATGACGGAGCTAATTTCACACCGAAGACGAAAAAGTGACCTGAAAGAAAAGGGCACATCTCCAACTGATTTTGAATAAGGGACAGACACGCACTCTGTCGTAACAAAACTCTTATTGTCAGATTTTATTACAATTATCTGTTTTTATCTGTCCGTGCAAAGGACGTTTTAACCTCTCTCACATATTTGGGTATCCAGCATTGATATTTTGCATGTATAGAGTATCTCTTGCAGGGCTTGCTCTGGTATTCCATTTTTTAAAGAAAGTTATGGTTCAGCGTTTCTGAGCTAAGGTATTTTATAATTTCATTTTAGTTATTTGCAGTGTAAAATATAATTCATTTTTCCTAAAACATCCAGTAGCCGCATTTCTCATCATGTTAGCATGTTTTTTTTTTTCGTTTAATATGCTATCTATGTTTAGTAACATGTATCTGAATATTTCAAAAACTTAAAAGTCTTATCCAAGACATGTTCATAATGATCTGACAATAAAGTATATTTGTTTGAAACCAATAGAGCTTGTAAGTAAAACCTGTGTGTATATGTTGAAGCAGGTTCCAGCCATACGTCAAAGTTGGTGTACAGCAGTGAGGTTACCCAGTGTATATCGCCCCTGGAGTGTAGTATGCAGTTCACCCTTGGAAGCTATTGTCCTTGAATTACACGATTACTGCATATGTGAAGATTATAATGCCCATATATCTGAAATTGAAAATGAAGCAAACCATCTTAATAGATTTACAAATCGGCACAAAAAAGAAGACTTTTGAAAATATACAAATATAAAAAAAATAGGCTTAAAGTACGTAACTTAAACAAAATTGTGATTAAATGTGACCATGTTTCTATATTAATTGTTCCTATTACGTTTAAACAGGATCAGTTATGAGAAAGCTGCATCTCATGTTTCAGTTTCGAAGCAGTAAAAGACTGTAAATTACATAAAATACAAACAAGATGTGCCGGTCGGCAACAAAGTTTCAAAAACTATTTTTATAGCATATTGGTCACAGTCAAGATTACAAGGTCATTGACCTTGGTGTTATTTGAAAGAACGTAAGTAGTGGAGTATGCACATCAAACATGAAGTCTCTATCTCTCATAACTCAAAAGTTATTATATCAAAGGTTTAAGTTGACAACAGGCAGACAAACAGATAAATAGACAAACGGACAAACAGACAGGACAAAAACAAAGTACGCCTCGGATCTATCGATCCAGGTGCATAAAAATTACATACACAATGACTGATTTAAAAATTTGACTCTATTACGTTTCATTTATGACCAAACCGAGTGTTTTTACATTTTACTTTTGACAGCAATCATTTAATAAGCAACAAACAAAAGAATGTAGAAAGAATTCAGCAAGAAATCGACAAATCCTTATAAAATTATATGAACATCGTTGATTCGGAGATATTACAAGATTCTCGTGTAAAATGTTGGCCCTCTTTTATGCCCGAATTAACTGCATAATTCACTTCTATATCTTTTAACATTTCAGTTACCTGTACACTTTTTACAGCGATCCTGTCAATTTACCCATGTTATAGGTATTTTATAAAACAAATCAGAGCTTCTGCATGAAATACAGATTGATTCAAGCTATTCACATGTAGTCTTGAAGATGAACAGATAATTGTGAAAAAAGATCTTTAGTTATAAACTTTTATTTGTTTATTATTGGTAAAATTTGAATGCTTTTTTACGCTAACTGTCAAACTCAACTATTTTGCCTTGGTTTGTTTTTTTATAGAAGAATGAAGTAATAGGATTGAAAATAAGTGCATTTCGTATTGCCTGATTAAAAAACTAATCTGAATACTAGGTCCGAGAACACTTAAGAGTTTCAGTATTAAAATGGTACCTAATGTAATGAAATTCGTCAAATCTAAGCGAAACTATTTTTTAGCAACATGTTGTAAAAAAAGAAGGTTTATACGAAAGTGAAAGAGATAATAATAACACAACATATATTGTCGTACTGCAAACTAAACAACATTATACATAAATTGAGAGTAGATAAAAAGTAAACGTTTATTAAGATGCGAGTTTCGAGATTGCAACTCTACTACAATACAGGTGCAAAAAGTATCCATTTCAGCCTGGAGGTGGGACAGGTTGTTTCTGTATACAAACGTGCATAAATAAATGAACGATATTTATGGCTTTCATAATTTACTTTATGTTATAGAAAGATGATAATGTTAAGCAGTGAATGCATTTGATGATTTATCAATCTCAACTATGCATGTTTACAAATCTACTTTCAATTATAGGTTACTTGAAAACGAAAGAAATGTCGTGGTCTGTATAAAAAGTGAACAATTTTCTTTGATTGTACAAACATTTTCTTAAAAAGTTAATGGGTTTTTTGAAGCTATAAAAAGGAAAAGAATCAATGTGTCATTTATTGCCGACGTGCAATGATCAGACTTCGACAGATGCATGTGTACCGTAGGTCCATGCCTCTTCCCTCGTCTGAAAAAGTCTCACATCGGCACTGGTATTTTCTTTTTTGTTACAATTTTACATTAACTTGGTTATTCTCGAGATGCAGAGTGCATTTTGACAATCATGTAGTTATCATAATAAACCAGTATATCGACGATTCAATTTATCTAATATATATATATAAATATATATATATATATATATATATATATATATATATATATATATATATATGTATATGTATATATATATATATATATATAATAAAAAAATCACAACACCGAAATAAACTCAACCGGTTTCATTTCCAATCTTCAGGAGTTTGACAATACAATGCTTAGTTACACAAAATCAACATTCATATTGTGACGTCATAAAGCGTCAATACTTAGTCGCGCTTTAGCAAAGTTCATTATGACGTCATGATAATACGTACATAAGTTATTACGGGAAATTAGATTTTTTTATACAAATAATACAGTTATATTATGCGGGTAAAAAGTATATTTCTTAAATGAAATATAATTATGTTGCATTTAAAACAGGTTTATGTCTGTTTATAAAATGTTTTTCTTTAGTTTCACGTTCTTTTTCTGTAGTATCCCTTCGGAATTTGTAGAATGGAAAGACAGTAAAATTAGGGGTTTTATTTTTGGCACAGTTTCTGATGTGTTCGCTTACGGCGGTACACTGGTATTTTGGTTCCCTGATTTGTTGTCGGTGTACGGTCATTCTGTGTCTCAGGGTGTCTCCTGTCTGGCCGATATAATTTTCACCACAACCGGCGCAGGTTATTACATAAATAAGATTAGAACTGGTGCATGACATTGATGTTTTAATAGTAAATACGCTTCCAGTTTTAAATTGAAATTTGGATCCCTCTGTCAGGTATGGGCAAGTACTGCATCTTGGCTTGTTGCATCTATTGATGTTTGCTGGTTCATTGTTGTTAGTAGAAAAGGACGCTTTTGTAAGAATGGATTTGAGAGATGGACTTTGTCGTTTACTCTTAATGATCTGTGAAGTTTCTAATATTTTTTTCATGTCTGGATCGTCCTCTAAAATTGGCAGATTGTTCCTAATAATGTTGAAAATTTCCGGATTTCTTGGGTTATGTGTAGACACGTATGGTATAACATTATTTACTTGTTTATTTTTCACTGTAAGTAGATCTTTTCTTTCTTGAGATTTGGCTTTGTTTATTCCGTTTTCAATCAATTGTATAGGGTAGTGTCTTTGAAGGAGTAGTTCTTGTAGTTCTGTAAGGCGAGATTCCAAGATTTCTGCATCGGAAATTATTGTGCAAAGACGTCTGGCTAAATTGTATGGGATATTATTTCTGGTGTGTCTAGGGTGACAAGAGTCAAATATTAGGTATTGTTTGGTATCTGTTATTTTGTAGAAAACATCCGTTATTAAACGGTTTTCTTTTTTAATAATAACCATTACATCGAGAAAGGAAAACTTATTACTATCCGATTCCATGGTGAATTTCAAAGTGGGGCTCAGGTTGTTGAGAATATTAAAAAATTCCATTAGTTGATCTTCACTTTTGTCCCATATGACGAAACAGTCATCTAAGTAGCGTATCCACGACTTCCTTATAAAATTTTCAAAGTCCTGCCCGAATTTTTCTTTCACGGTTAAATACAGTTTTTCTTCTAAGAATCCTAGGACAAGTGTAGCATAAGTCGGCGCAACTTTGGTTCCCATTGCCGTGCCTAATTTTTGTCTGTAGACCATGTCATTAAAATGCATAAAATTATTTTCCAAGATTAATTGAAGGCTTTCTAAAACAAAGTTTTTTGGAAATCTGTCATTCAAAAGACTAGGAAATCTGTCTATCCAGTGTTCTATTGCGATGAGTCCAAGATCATGTGGAATGTTAGAATAGAGATTGATTAAAACATCAATGTCATGCACCAGTTCTAATCTTATTTATGTAATAACCTGCGCCGGTTGTGGTGAAAATTATATCGGCCAGACAGGAGACACCCTGAGACACAGAATGACCGTACACCGACAACAAATTAGGGAACCAAAATACCAGTGTACCGCCGTAAGCGAACACATCAGAAACTGTGCCAAAAATAAAACCCCTAATTTTACTGTCTTTCCATTCTACAAATTCCGAAGGGATACTACAGAAAAAGAACGTGAAACTAAAGAAAAACATTTTATAAACAGACATAAACCTGTTTTAAATGCAACATAATTATATTTCATTTAAGAAATATACTTTTACCCGCATAATATAACTGTATTATTTGTATAAAAAAATCTAATTTCCCGTAATAACTTATGTACGTATTATCATGACGTCATAATGAACTTTGCTAAAGCGCGACTAAGTATTGACGCTTTATGACGTCACAATATGAATGTTGATTTTGTGTAACTAAGCATTGTATTGTCAAACTCCTGAAGATTGGAAATGAAACCGGTTGAGTTTATTTCGGTGTTGTGATTTTTTTATTATAACAATA